TGCCAGCTTTGTGCCTGTGTGTGCATGCCTTATAGACAGAAGACATGGGAACTGAAAATGGCTGGTGGCATAACGGCCATCGCAATTGGTAACCAAGCGAATGGCACAAAACACGCCTTTGTTGGAACGTCAAATGGGATGCTCATTCTCATTGTGGTAACCGCCGCACTACTTAATTATATAAGTAGTTACATTCTCACAACTTTATATGTCGATTCTCCTCAGGCTCGTGGTACTGATTGTGAATTTTGCCAAAATCTTTAATGTTGCTCAAAGACCATCTAAGCGAGGAAGACATCGACAAACCCCTATTCGATTTAGGCTTGTAAAAAAGCTGACTGTGTGGAAGCAGAAGAGAGGCATTTTAATAAATAAAGCATACACGAATATTTATGCAACTACATCACCTCTGTCATTGACCGTTGCTCCTTCTACTTTTTCTCGTCTGAAGGCTTAAGAAAGTTAAAGGTGATCGGTAAATAGATTTTTAAAAGCGTTTTTAAATTTTAGAATTTAGTTGTCTAATGCAATTGCCCATAGCTTAATATGCTCTAGACTTTCCTTCACCCTTGCAATACCATATTTAGTTTGCACTTGCACTGATGGGGACAGGACTCGGACTTTGTCCTAGGCACACCTTAGTTGCTGTATAATTCTTTTTGTGAGATCTGTTTTAGGGTGAGACCTGAAGGCTAAGCTAGGTTGCCTCTAGAATGCAGGGTGTCATTCGCATTACCCCTCTAGGCGAGCCCGTCCTAGTCTGGTTCGGAGCTCTTCAATCAATCTATTTGGGTTTGCTTACTGCTCTACATACGGGGCTTGTGGTCAACAATCTACAGTCCACATAACACTCTCCTTCTTCCACAAGCTGCCCTCTTAAGGTGCGAGTTGGTTTCTTTGTTTCGACAGCGGCATCTCAGATCCGATGCTCCTCCTTTATGAGGACTCGCAGACTAGTAGATAAGAGGAGACGAGTTGATTGCACACAGACTGAAGTAAAAAGGGTGAAAAACCATGCACACATCGAAGTAAAATATTTTGATTTAATTTGCCGTAACACTTGCGTTGTAGAACTTGACAGGGGAGGAAGCTCCACGTGATCAGTACAGTCAAATCCTCGGTTTCATTGCCATCTCCAGCATCTCCATAATTGGCACACAAGTGTGGTGTGCTTGTGGTTGCGTCTTAGAGATATTTGATGTAACGTAAGTTTACAATCTTTTTACTCAACTTGGCCCTTGGGTTGTCATTTAGCATGGAATGTGCATCTGTTTAGGACTTTTGATCATTTGCGCAAAATTACCATATCAGAGAACCCCTTGGACAGTATCTGCTGTCTTGCCGCCTGTCCAAACGGTGTTTGGACGTCGTTAGTTGGCAAAACTTCCCTCAAGCTCTGGTCCACCAGCACATTCGAGCCCACCTGGTACTGCGATATTAGCAGAGATCTAACGTCAACAAGTCCTGATGTAATTCTACCGTCCTTACCGACAGACACAAACACCCTTTCAGTGAAAATTTCAAGACAAGCTTAAATGCATTTTGTCCTAACGCCTCATAAAAGTAACCTAACGTTGACTTATCACACCTAAATGATAATCTCTTCAATCTTTTCTGAGTTAGATTGAAGGGGAAAGCGAGAATCCGGACAGAGTGACTGCAATACTGGCAACCAGTTCATATCTCTTCGTTGGTACTGCCTCGGGCATTGTTTGTATCTACAAGACGCTTAAATGGAAGAATCCAAGTCGACCACAGAGTAAGCTCTGTTTTGAAAGGCGACTCTGTTAATGCTCTTATCTGCTCTAGGGCGTCCAGTCTACCAGTTGGGGGAGGAAGATCATTGTGCGATAGAAAAGACGTAAATTAATGGACTCATTACGTGTCTCTAATTTAATTTCTTAGATGGAGGAAGACTGCTAGGCAAAATGTGTTTTAATTTCACAGCAACTGAATAAGATCTACCTTTTTATGCAAGTCAATTTAGCGTTGTGAACAAAAGTATTCAACACAACAGGTCTGTAGTCTTGTCAAATCTGTTTTCAAATAGGTAAAAATCGTTATAGTGTGAGTGTCGCTGACATCTTTCACAATCAAAAATCCCAACAATGGGGACTGCGTTCGTCCATCAATAAGGGGCACCTTGACTCGGACGTAGACGAGGTTCCTTGCACCACCATTCCCCAGGCGGAGTCAGTGAGGTCGGCTTTACAAGAGGACCTCAAGTTTTCACCTTCCATCAACCCCGCTGGTGAAGCAGTAAGTGTAGGGCTTTGTTACGTGTAGGGGATGCTAGAAGTTGCATAATCCTGTACACCTCCTCCACCCTAGAACCAAAAACCAAATTTGCTCAGGAATGTGTTGCAAAAGACACGAAGTCCTTCGGTCAACACGCCCAATATTAACTTTGAGAAGGATGTGAAGATCACGAGGTCGCCAATTCGCGCCTTTTTACAAGTGACGTAAGCTCTGGTCTGAGGAGATAAACAAAAGAAAAGTCAACTTTAAGTCTGCCTGCATTTCAGTTGATAAGTAGTGAATGCCAAAAGGGGAATATTCCGTTTGAGTTCCTAAAAAAAGAACAGATTACCTAAAGTAGACTGTAGAAGGCTTTTATGTCTGGCTTCACAATGAATTTTTTGTCCTCCTTTTCATGGTAGAAATAGGCAAGGCGTCTGCGTGGTGTCCTTCTCTCAACGCTGCAGTGAGGCTGAGGCCGTCGTCAAGTGGGCACCACAATCCAAGGATGTGAGTTGTCTGATGCTCTCGTCTGGCAAATGTGTCATTGCCACTCCTCTTCAGGCCACGCCTTGTCGCTAAAATGACACGAGGCGGTGAAAGCTGTGTCGCGTATTTCTATGTGGCGCAAAATTTTATTCCGAGTTTAGGTGTTGAGAATTTTATTTCACTTTTTCTCAGTGCAAAATCAGTCAACGTAAAGTGACTTTGTCATGATTAATGTGACATTTCCTCCATGTCGACGTGACAGAAGCTCCAATTTTTTTCACTTTTTATTATCAATTTTTCATTGAAAGGTACTTTTTGTACCGCATAAAATTGCTCTTGATAGGGCGTCTACTGCTCACCGTGGTGGCAATGCTTTCCTCTTGGTCACCGATAGGCCTTCAGCACCGATTTTATCAACAACTTCAATTACATTTGTGTGGAGTCTGTGAAAATTGCAATGTTTCTTAGAGAGCCGTTTGCCTCTGGCTAAGAGGTCTTAATGAGCACAGTGATAAATGGCCTACAAGGCATCAAAACGCTCCGAGCCGACCCTTGGACTGTCGTAGGGTGTGGGAGTCGGCACAGGGCTTTGCTGCAAGAGTAGATGAGAGATGATGATGGTTAATGGTTGCTATGACGTTATTATGGGTGACCGAAGCTCGAGAAGATTGTAGAATCCGTATGCCCAAGGCTACAATTGTAAGAAGTCTACATTTAAAGGGTGGTTGCACCCGAAAAATTTGCACGCACCACAGAGGCCTCATCGCATTTAATTTGCAATTCTTTGACAACTGACAATTTTATGCTAGTCCTTTTAACTATCCAAACAGGGTTTGTAAATCGGATCAAAGTAAATTTGAAATCTACAAACCTCGATTTTGGTGATTTTGAATTTTTACCCAAAGTTTTTTACTAGCGACTCAGCATGAAACCTATCATAATTCTGAGCCTAGAATTAAAAAAAAACAATTTAATTAGTGGTAAATATGTAATTGTTTCGCCTTAAGAAATGTCCATGGAAGAAAGTGCCAATGTCTGAACTTTGCATCGATGACTTAACATCAATTCCACCTACTCACTCGAAGGGTCCGATGCTCCAAAAAATGTCCTCCATAGATTCCACATCCCCTCTCCAGTGATTTGTCATTCATTATTTTAAAGTCTATCATTTTCAATAAACTTTTTTCATAAATGGATGACTTATTTATTGTTGGCATTACATGATGGTGAAAACGACTACAGATTTAAATTTTCTATGGTTGTGGTTGATAAACGACCAATACTACTGATTGAATTATAAGTAGCATATGCTTGCTAAATAATTTGCACTGATTTAAGTTTCCCTTTGAAGAGCGAAGGAGGCACAATGCAGGATTACCGATGCAGAGGGCATCTAGGGACGCTAATGAGGCATTTGGATTAACTCTGTGCAATGTGATATCCACCCACAGACCATCGCAGCCAGTCATCAAAAATTTTAAGGCCTTAACACTTTCACAAAAACGAGAGTCACGTCAGTCTTGGGAGCTGGGTCGGAGGAAGGAGCCGTGTTTTTACGGGAGTCGTCATCTTACAACTAACAAGATGTAAGATAGCTTAGTGTCGATACTCATTTGCATCCATCCTTCAAACTGTTAATAGTTTCAAAATTGCATGAATTTTTTTAGAGGCAGACGCACTTAAAAGCGTAATAATTCGAATTTAAATGTCGATTTGCCATCGTACTAGGGCTTAGCTTTGTTCCCTAACCCTCAGCACTCTGGTGAGGACGAAGGTAGATCTGAAACTCGAATGGGATGCATACTGGTGACGGACCGAGGGGTTAAACACCACCACCTAGGTCCAGAGGTCATGCTACTCTAGAGAAGTACAAAAGGGCCTTCGAAACCCCAAATTAGATTAAACAATTAATCAAACTTTCATACATCGATTGCTAACCTAGATTAAAACCAGTTTTAAAAGGGCAATTGTACTTTTGCCGGTCTTATCCCCATCACCTCAATTATCCGTGCAAAAATTTTAATGTTAAATTACTCATTTGTGTTGTCCACTTCGCTGCGAAATACGAGATTCTGCGTGGTAATATGATATCACATCCTCAAACACCTTCGAATTGCGGCTCTTCGTAAAATATTTACGCGTTAAACAAAACAAAGAGAACAGAGGCACAAAATTAACCAAGTGGGCTTTGAGTTAACATGCACTTTCAGGTTTTGCCGAATGGAAAGTTCATGAATAATTGCACAATTTTATGAGTGGAGAGGGGAAGGGCGATGCGTAGTGGGTTATGAGTTCTCGCATTTGGATTTGAGTTTAAACAATATCTGCTCCGAGTGAGGATTTGGAGTTGTGCCCGCTTCAGACTTGTTATTGTTATGCGATGTCATTGAAGGGTATTGAAGAGGGGGGGGGGGAAAGGAGGTGGATCAAAGAAGTCGGAAGGAAATAAAAATATTTTAGCGCCTCAATACTTTCCTGAAAACGTTAGGAGACGTAGTATGTGGACAGAATTAGGGTGTCAGAGTGCAGAAAAGCTAAGATGGGTGGTCTCACCGTGCGAGAGGCGAAGGAGTGGACTTAAGAGGAGGAAAAGAAGGAGGAGGAGGAGGAGAGGAGACAATGCAGTCACTCAAAGTCATTATTTATAGGGGTCTAGTCGTCTGGAATTTTGACCAAGATGGGGACGAGGTCAGTGCCTCGGCATAAATTATCCCCTTCAACATATAAGATAGTAAAAATTCAAGCCGATTGCCAATTTTTTTAAAAAGAAACAAATAAAATTTTTGAAATAGAATGCGTGAATGCATCAAGTCACATTCGCCTCATTTTGAAGATTCAGCCGTCGAAGCCTCGTCATGTAGACGTAGTGCACGCACTTTGATTTGATAAAATGGGCTTGATGAAGTCTGCCTAAAGTGCCAATTTTAGAAAATTTTATGGTCAGTTGTTTGATTGGGTGTACCACCAAACTACTGAGTCTAACATTTTGCTATGGAACCCTAAAACACCCTCCTTATCCGCCGAAAGTGCCCTTCATACATTAGAAAAAACCATTTACAAACATCAAGATGACAAATTTTATTTAAAAGCGGGTCTTTTGGGGAAGGTCGGCAGGGATGGGGAGCGTTGTCCAATGCCCATCTAAGGGCGCATAACAGTAACTGCCAAATCTGTTTGTAGGCAATGCCAACGAAACAATGGGGCGATAAAATCATTCAACGTCAAAGGGACTGGTCGAGGTTTACCCGTTTACTAGCTTTAATTTAATTGAAAGGGATTGGAGTGAGGATGGTTGGTTGGAACCGGGACTTTTGGATTTTAACAAGTCTATTGTGCATGGAATGCTGCCACAGTTGATTTCCACGTAGTGGCAAGCCAAAAGCAGGTTCCACTTCATGTAGTCATTGGCAGGAGAATGAATGGCGGTGGACGTGCGTACAAGCAGTGAAGGTTGAAGGCATAAGGACGCATAAATTCTGATTACGTGGTACCCACTAGTAAAATACCCCCAATTACAATACACTGCTGATAAGAATAATCAAATGCTTTAATGGAGTGGGTGTTTATGAGAGAGCGAATTGTTTTGCAACTGGCTAGGCGTTTGAGGAGTTTATGGGATGGGGATCACGAAGTACTCTTTAGCTTAGGCCAAGCCACGTCTTGAACAATCCAGACGGCACTTTGTCCCTACGCCTAATCCTCAACCCAAGGCTCGCTACTTGGGGTGTCAAAAATTTGTCGGACTACGGCACTTCTCTGCAGTCTTGTGGGTGACGCGCAGTCTCTAATGTGTAAACCACAGCATTTCTGACTGATCTTTTCCGCCTCGGGTCGGCGTTAGCATGTGATCTGCAGCATCCACGGCGGCTGCCGCATAGACTGACACCCTCAGGTTGCTGTCGCCCTAGTCGACGCAACATGACTGCAGTCTCACCTCAAAGTCGCGGACTTACGGACCGAATATCACATTGGAGTTGGAGTTTTTACTTCACAGCTAAGAAGACTATTGGTGGCATGAAAGAATGTGGAGGCAATCATAAGTACTGCAAAACCTACCTAAATGCTTTCATTTAGTAATAGAAGCAGTAAAAAATAGTTGCGTGAAATAGAATTTTATGTCTCTTTCGTCCTTTTTATTTGGCCTCGACTCTGTACTGCTCACTCACCTTGGTTCACAACCCGCATTATCACGGATGTGTTTCGAGTTCCGTCGAAAAGGGCACGAGGACAGTTTGCCAGCAAATTTCAACATTAGGCACTCAATTTAGGAGTTTTAAGGGTCCCTCGACTGCAACACATTTCATTCTTTTCCCAATCTTTAGTAATGATAGGAAGTAGGATCGTTCTAGCAGATCAGTTTTCTACCGCTCCCAATGGTGGATGTCAAGACTTCGCCATGGGAGCACAGTGACACACCACCTTGGTGGAATGCGAATTCTTAACATACCTCAAAGCCAAAGCGTCATTAATATGTTTCGGCTTTTAACCTGCTGCACCCCAAATTGAGAGGCTATCAAGCAGTTGCGAACAGATTCACGCACTGTCGAGGACTTCTGACTGCCATAGTTGTCACTTGTCCAAATCTGCTCATGTATTCTGCCCACTAAGTCAATGCCTAGTCATTAGAGTGCTATAAAAAATACCATTCCTGTACAACTTTTCACAGCTGAGCCAATATTACCTGACAAAAGGTGTCCAAGGAAAGCAGCACAACGAGCCTTCCCTCTTCTACGAATGCAAGAGCCCTCCACATGCCGCCAACGACCCGAGCACCACGACAACTGAAGACACAAATACCACAACAGAAAGGATGGGTGGAAGATTCATAACTTTTATGCTCGTCGTGTACAGCGTAAACCCACCAGTTGTCAAATTTATTGTCAGCCTGTATGCCTCAGTAAATGGCTTTCAAATCCTCATGCGACAATAACACATTTGCGAAATCATTCCAGCCAAATCACAATTGTGCGTTTAGTCTTTTGGGGGAAAAAAGAATTTAGTAAATGTCCACACCACAAGCTAAGTTGACAGGTCCCGTCAAATGCTTGCTGGGAGAAGAAGTGCTCCCCCATGGCACCGAATGTAAATGCCAC